GAATCCTGTTCAGGTATTCAAGATACACCAGCTACCTTGTCCAGTGTCACCAAAGGAATCAGAAACATCTGATGAACTACTGATTTGGCTACCCTTCATGTGTGAAGCAGCAGCAGCAACAGCTGCTCCTGCTTTTAGGACTGGCCTGTGTATGTGGACATTTCACTGAAAAGGACAATGGAGAAGTAGCTAACTTCTTTGACTTCACCAAAGGGGCTTGGGCAAGGCTCCTCTATGCTCCCACAATATCCTGTTTCTCTCTGTACCACTGTACTAACCTACTGCAGTATAACGCCTCTATGCCTCTCGCTAACCACCTGTATCATAATGCCTCTTTTTGTGTCTATTTCCATCATTGGTTGAGAGATTAAGTGCATGGGCCAGGCTTTAGTCACCTTTGACTGCCAGTTTAATCTAACCCAAGACCCTTCATAGAGCAGAAGCTCCCCAAAAGTTTGTTGGATATATGCGAAAATGAATAATGCAGGACAGACACAGTAGCTCACACCTGTAATTCCAGTACTTTGGGAAGCCAAGGTGGGAGGATCACTCGAGGCCAGCAGTTCAAGACTAGCCTGGCCAACACAGTGAAACTCCATACCTACAAAAAATAACAAAATTAGCAGGGTGTGGTGCTATGCGCGTGTAGTCTCAGCTACTCAGGAGGATTGCTTGAGCCTAGGAGTTTGAGGTTACAGTGAACTATAATCACATCACTGCACTCCAGCCTGGGTAACACAGCAAAGATCCTGTCTCTTAAAAAAAAAAAAAAAAAGGAATAATGAATTTAGTGCATTGCTGTTTTACTGCATACAAAGAAGGGTTGCTCTTTACTTCCAGCTGTAGTCACTATTTACAACATTGCTTTATATCTTTGACACTTCTGCCCCAGATGAGCCCTTCAGTTCCTGAACATGCCTCTGTTCTAGCTGCTGCTTTTTCTTCAATTGGAGTTGAAGCTCCAGTTCTTGCTTCTGGTATTTCTTCTGCCCTGACTGGAAGAAACACTGCTCCTCCCTCCCTCCCAGGCCCTATCCAGCAGCTGTCTGACCAACCTGCTGCTCTGTCTGCCAAGTTCATAGTAAGCGTGCCCAGCCCGGCAGAGTTGGGCTAACTTTAAGGCAGGCGCACTGGCCATGTGCCAGGCCCTTGCTGTTAGGAAGCCTGTATTGTCCTATAATGTTAAATGGGCCTTATAAGTGCCTGGCGAAATGGCTCCCAGAGCCAGATATGCCTTCTAACAAGCAGGCATTGTTATTTAGCTGGTTTACCTGTGCAATCTTATCTCCTCCTCCAGAATGTAAACTCCTTAAGGAGTTGTGCTGGAATATGTCCTTGTAAAAAATCCCCTGAATACCCAGCATAGAGCTCCATGCTCAGTAAGCTTTCAATAATTATTTCTCCATTTGAGAACAACCACATGATCCATCAATATTTCTCCGTCCCAGCTTAACATTAACAGATGCCTTTACATGCACTATTTCCTTTAAGTTCACAGAGCAAATCTTGAGGAAGAATCACCATCCTCAATTTTACAGATAAAAATCACCCATCTTGCAAATGGCAGAGCTGGAATCCAGGTCTCTACCTACCCAATGTGGGGCTCTTTCCACTCCAAGATACTGCTTGATAAAAACTTGTTGCATGAATAAATAGGCAAAAACATGTCTCCCTGGACACAGCCACTTACTGCTCCCAGACCTCAACGCCACCATGGTTCCTCTGCACCAGACCAGTGAGGAGATGATGATTAGGTTTTTGACTTTTATTCGTGATGTATGATGTCTGCTGCCAGGGGAACAGTATTCAGTGACAGCTTTCCCAGAGCACTGGCTAAATTCGTTGGCACAACTTATTTAAAGATTTTTTTAAAACAGTTTGTCCATTATTGAAAAGGAACAACAAAAATCATGAGTAGGCAGCCCCCACTGGAGAATTTTCCAAGAAAATCTTCAAGACAGATGCTTTTCAAACTGTCTTCTCTATCAGCAAGTGCAAAAACTATGTCATGGGAAACTATGGTGCTGAAAGAAGGCTAGGTTTCTGTTTTTGTAAAATTACCCCCTTGCAACTCCTTATAAGCAGTAAGTGCTGCCACTCGAAATACTGCAAAACAGCAGGCCTGGTTTGAGGGCTACTTTGTAATTTCTCAAACTTTAAAATTGTCTTTCAAGAATTTCAGCAGCAAAAGCCATATAAAAGTCTGAACACTGACTTTTTACATATAAAGAGACCTATAGAACGTTTCTCATAAAGTGAGATGCTGTCCTGAAAGGCCTGTACTATGCTCAGAACACCAAGGTCAAATGAAAGGAGTCAATCCCTTAAGCAAGGGAAGACATTCTTTTCCAAAGAGACACAACTGTCCCCCCTCCACCCACACCCCGATCATCTTCATAGGAAGTCAGACCCTAAAGCCTACGTGAGGCTTCCCTCTGAAAAACAGATTAGCTCCACATCTAGAAAATCCAACATGCTGCAGGGAGGGCTATATAACCTACGCTTTAGGTAACTAAACCCACATAATTTCAGACCCACTGAACAAATCCCAAAGGTTTACAGATGAGAATGTGCGGCTCAAAATCTTTGTTCTAAGGTCAGAAATCTAACCTGCATTCGACTTTTTTTTTTAATCAGTCTAACTAAATTAAAAAGAGACACTTTCTGCAATTTTCCCAGACAGAAGCAAGTGGCAGATCAATGTACAGCTCAAGAAGTAGAATTTAAATACAGTATGTGTGTCTCCTTTCAAAAAAGGAGCGAAGCCACTTCACATTTTGCCAGACAAAACCCTGTCCACAGGAGGTCCATTTCCACAATGAGGTTGCAAAGGTGTTAGAAAGAGGCCAGTTGGGAGGAGATAAAGGGCCATTTGGGCACAAACCCCCCACCGATCAGAGCTTTTTTTCTAAGTGTCTCTTTTTCAACAGGGAAGCCTTTTAAAACTACATTTGCTTAGGATCCCTACCTGAATGACAATGTGTTGGGATCCAATTTCACCTTTTGTCAAGGACTGGGTGAGAAACAGTAAACGGCTGTCAGCATCTTAGAAAAAGCCAGTCCTTAGCTTACAAGGAAAAGGCATGGGGCAGGGGGGTAGGGGAGAATCCTAAGATTTCTTGTCCGGCCCTAGTGATGGAGTGAAGGTGGCAAATGCCTACAAATCCTACAGGCAGAGTCCATAACTCCAATATATTAAGTCTCCTTTATTAAAAGAGGTGCCTCAATGCAAAACTACAATTCTGTTTGTGCTCTGAATGGAAATATTCACCACTATTTTTTTTAATCCTAGCTTTCCATCTTTTCTAAAAGTCACTTCACTCCTAAGAACTCAGCAATAATCAGAAATCAGAAAATGCATATGGACAAAATTGCAACTGAATCTGAACCTGAAAGATCGGCATAGTTGAATGATGCATCTTAAAAGCTTATCTATTATTATGCAAATCAAGAAAACCCAACTCCATTGCACTTCAGGGCCGGGTGTCTGCAAATAAATGCAAAATTACCTTTCAAAATCCATACACTCTTCAGTCCTCAATGTCACCCTTAAAAATAATCCCAGTGGTCTTTCCCTACAGTAGAAAAGGTCTGTGGAACTTGCCTCAGGAAAATTGTAACCTCGTGGGTTACAATTACACTGGTGTGGGGAAGTGGGAAGAAGGAGGAAGAAGGAAAAAGAAAAGAAGGAGGAGGAGAACAAGAAAGAGGAAGTAGAAGGTAGAAAAAAAGAGAAGAAGAGGATGAGGAAGAAGAAGAAAGAAGTAAGAAACCTAAATCCCAAAAGTGACTTAAACACCTCTCCCGGTGGGAGGTGGAAGGAGTGGTCACAGTAGGATGGAAATCAGAAACCTATTCCAAGAACGCATTCTTGGAAACTTCGATCTTTCGAAGACCACATTCATCCCCATGATTGTTAGAATGTATAAGAGAATGGTGTTAATTTATCTAAGAATGTTATAGCAAAGGTTTCAGGCTGGGAATGTCATCTCAACCTCTCCTAAACTAGTGGGCCTTTATGGCCAAGTGGATTAAAATAACAGCGGGGAAGAATCTCCAGGTGGTTGGTGTTCAGCAATTTTTACTACTGTTGGTCGTGAGTAACATCATCAGGATTCCTTACTAGATGCGGGCAGTTTTTCTGTTACTCCCCCTTCCTCTCCCGAGGAGGACGGACATGATAAACAATTTGGAGAAATGGGAACCTTATTCACTTTGCTCCCTTTCTCCTCGACCCAAAAAGGCACACACGAAACAAAAATCATACAGCAGACAACACGCAAACCACAGCAGGATATGCGGAAAGCAACAAAAAGAGTCCCCCAGCAGGATTAGAGTCGGGAGTCTACCGGGAATCTACCAGGCCAGCCCCTCCCCCCATGCTCCCGGGCGGGGAAAGGAGCGCGGAGCCCTCTCCGAGGGCCGCTCTCTGCCGGGACCTAGGTGTCCCCGGGGCAGCTGCGTACGCTGCGGCGCCTTCCCTCCCAGCGCCCATCGGTGCGCCTCGGTCGGGGGGACGCGAGGACGCAGTCAAGGGGGTAGGGTGGGGAGTTCGGAAAATCGTCCGAGCCAGACGGGGCTGGCTGCTCTGGGATGGGGACACAAAGAGGGAGGGGAGTTTGCAGGGGTGGCAAGGTGAAAACAAGCCTGCATGGGAAATGGGTGCAAATTAGAAAAGAGGTGCGAGGAAACTGAAGAATCCTTGACGAGATGAAGGAGCTGGTACTCAGAAGAGGGGAGCTGTGCAGGGTCAAGTGGGTTCCGTGCAAAGGGCAGGGGATTCTGCAGAAGAGAAGGGCAGGGGTAGACGAGTGCATGGAAGAAGAGTTGGTGTATTGTCAGGGGGTCTGTACAGAGGACAGAGGGGTCCGACGGGAAGCCAGGCTCTGTGCATGCAAGGAGCCGATGCACACAGTCCAGGGGACTTGTACCGGGGAGTGGGATGGGGCTTTGCGCAAAGGAGAAAGGCGGGATGTCTGGCGAGCTCGGGGGCCACTTACCTGCATGGTGACGACCCCCAGCTCCTCGACCGCCAGCCTGCGCATCTGGCTCGCCAGCACTTGCGCCTCGTCCAGGATGGAGAAATCGGCTTCGGCCCCGGCGCCCAGAAGCCAGCACGCGACCAGGCAGAGCAGCCAGAGGGGCGGCCGCAGCGCCCGGGCCCCGGCCGTCTCCTCTTCCTCCGGCTGGCGGGCCATGCTGCCTCCCCCAACTCCCTGCCGACGGGCTCCGGGCGCCAGGAAGCGGGCCGCGGGAGGTGCGCCCAGGGCCCGCTCGGCGCACCCCGCAAAACTTTCTTCCTCTGCTGCAGGCTCGGCTCCGCGTCGCGGTGGCGGCGGCTCCCAAACTTAGGAGGCGCCCGGCTACAGCGCGGGAGCGCGGGCGGCCACCATCGCAGGGCTCCGCGGCGGTGGGGGGAGGAGGCGGCCGCCCGAGCGGTCCCCAGAGCCCGGCGCCCACACGGCCCCCGCGGCGCAGAGGGCGTCTCCGAGAGCCGGGGCGCCCGCAGGCCGGGGTGCGCGGGCCCCGGGGCTGACAGTCGGAATCGGAGTCGGAGTCGGAGCCCGAGCCGAGCCGCGGGGCTCTCGCTTCCTGCGAGTCCCGGCGCAGCTAGCAGGCAGCGGCGAGGGCGGGCGGCGGCCCGGGGGAGGAGGAGCGGCGGCCGGGCTGCGAGGCTGGGGCAGCCACCCGAGCGAGGAGGGAAAGGGAAGGCTTCACAAACCCACACAACTGAAAGAAAGAAAGCAAGCCGTGGGGAAAGGGAGGCGTCTGGTGCCACCACGCTGCGCTCCGGCTCTGTGCACTTCCCGGCTGGGCCGCCGCGGTGGCTGTGGAGATTTATGGAACTAGCGAGAGAGGCGGGGAAATTCCCCCGGTTGCCCCTCCTCTCTCTCCCTGGCTCCCGCCTCAGAACCTGCCCCCTGGGACGCCGGGGGCCGGGGACCAGCCTCTCTCTCTGCTCGGGGACCGGCCCAGCCCGGGCAGGGGAGCCCACGGACCTTCCCGTGGCTGGAGAGGTAGACCCCCGCCAGCGTTCCCCGCCTCCGTCCGCGCCAGGGAGCCCACCCGGCCCAGGTTCCACCCATCGAAAAGTCCTTTTAAGTTCTAGGACGCTGGCTGTCTGCCTGGCAGCGGTTGGGGAAGAAGGGGACTGCCATGTGTAGGTCCACTCCCTCTCCTCGATGTTATTCATCACAATGACTAGCCAGCGTTCCACCCTCAGATTTCTGTTGGAACCAGCCACCGTGTGCCCGGCACCGGGCTCTGGGGTGTGCACATTATCATAATCTCCTCCACATGCCATAGGAGATACATATCTTTATCCCAATTTTTTAGGTAACAAAGACTGAGGTTTAGAGAGGTGGAATAAATTGCCAAAGGTCACTCAGGGGATAAGAAACAAATCCAGAGTTTAAGCACAAGTCTTACTCCAAGGCTCTTGCTCCTAAACAAGACACAGTTCTCTCTGTCTCTCTTTGGAAATGAACCATCTGATCCCATCAAAAACAAGAAAAAGAAAAAAGGAGAAAGAAAGAAAAAGAACGACTGAACCGGAGTCCACCGCGCACACACCTGTTCTGCCTAGCATGGAGAGGCAAGGGTAACCTTCCTGTTTGTCCCTGCCTCCTGGCTCAGGCTCGGTGAGAAATCACCTGTTGGAAGCACCTGGAACAAGTCAACCGGGTGTGTGTGGAGAACAGCCACTCTCCCTTCCAAGCCCTGTGTGGTTGCTGCTTGCAGGTTCCTGGAGAACAGAGCCAACACTGGCAAGTTAAAGGACTAGTCCAGGATTACCTAGCAGAGGTGGTAGCAGGATTAGAACCTGGATTTTGGGCTCTTTTCATTTTACAGCAAAACCTTCTGTTTTACATCTTTGACTATATTGTATTTAAAAACTCATCTTCTCTTGTAAGCTCTCCCTGGCCCATTTTTACCTCATTGTGATCACTTCTCTATTCTCAACTCCCCTGCTAATTTTTGTATTTTTAATAGAGACAGGGTTTCACCATGTTGGGCAGGCTGCTTTCGAACTCCTGACCTCAGGTGATCCACCTGCCTCAGCCTCCCAAAGTGCTGGGATTACAGGTATGAGCCACTGTGCCTGGCCTGTGATGTTTATTTTACGTACTAAGGTAAGCATGTTGAGTGTGGGGACCAATCCCTTCACCTCCACATCATCCACACAAGCACATAGTAGTACTGGAAAATTTATTCTTGAGTTAATAATGGGATTAAAAACCTACCTGTGTGTCTTCTATTCCTGGAGTTGAGCTGACATTTGTTAGAAAGATGATCCTTTAACTTCTGTTTTGTTAAATTGTTGTACCTTTGACATGACACTCAGCAAGACAAAGCATATTAGTTCATGTGATTAGTTGAAGAGTAAAGAACAGAAATAATAATGACAGCTAGCATTATTTTTTGTATTCGATTCTTTAAGTTTACCATTACCAAAGTGTCACACATCTCTAAACTCCTTCTGAAACGCCTTCACAATAGGCATTTATTACCCATCTTTTATATGTTGGTATTTCTTGAGGTCCTATTTCTTGGGATTCTAATCCACTGTCACCTTTTTTTCACTCTAAGGTTCTTCTTTTTGAGGACTCTCAACCACACCTATGCCTTCAATTATCTTTAAAACACTAGAGTTTGTCATACTTCTAAATAAAACTCAACCTGGATCTCCATTTTTCTAGCAAGTTCCTGACTTCTCTACTAGATATACCTGAATGAAAACTCATTACTGCTTTCCCCCATGTTCCACCTAAATCCATGTGTGGCTGCAAATATAGGTGGATGTCACCCACTCTGCAAGCTAGGTACCCACTCTCTATCCACCCCAGCTCCCAACATATCTCCCGTGTCCATCCGCCACTCTCCATCTGCATCCCATGGCCTGACTTCAGTTCCTCATCGCAGCTCGCCTGTATTATGACCAGTCTCCTCATGGGTCTCTGTGCAGTCTTTCTGTTCCCCTTCATTCTATTCTTCACATAGAAGTCAAAATCAACTTTCTAAAAGTCAAATCTCAACTTGTCATTCACTAATCTAAACATTTCTGATGCACCATCACAGATAAGTAAACTTAACAAACAAAGCCCTTTGTGTTCTGGCCTGTTTGCTCTTCTGGCCTTATTGTAGCCACTGTGCCCCTCAGTTTCCTCACCACCCCTAGAAAACACCTTTCTGGCATCCACAAAAGTCTTCGCCTTCTCTCTACTTGCTATTCAGCTGAGGTGTCATTTCTGTGACACCTACCCCCACAGAGTTTACGGCTCCTCCTTTGGTGCTGCAAAGCTCTTGGTTCTTCTCTCAGCACTTAATGTCCCCCCAACACTTAACAAGCAGCATTGTGATTTTCCACTTGAAAGCTTTGATTTCTCCACCTTGTTTCTCAAAGTGTGTTCCATCAAACACACTAGCCTCAGGATACTTAATAAACTGCAAATCGTGTGCTCTATTCCAGGTCTACTAAAGCAGAATCTTTGGAGGTGGGGGGTGGGTCCTGGAATATGCATTTTATAGACCCCCTTCCCCGCCCTGACATTAGTCTTATGAACCACTGCTGGACTGCAAGCAAGCTTGCCAGGATGGTAACTTATGCATCCTGGAGCTCTATTTAGCCCCGTGTCTACAGCCAGGAGGTTCTCAGTACCCAGAAAGGAACATGTGGCTATTCCTATGTTGCCAACAGAGAAAAGCCTCAAAGAAATAAAGTTATTTGCCCAAGGTAATACAACTTTTAGATAGTGGTGTCAGTATGCAAATCGGGGCCTGCAAACACCAAACCAAAAGCTCTGAGCTACTAGTCTGACGTCAGAGAGAACATTTACCCACATGTATACTGGTACGTGATACACCAATAAAACCTTACTGTGTGATAAACTGCCAATCCTTAATGTTCCTCATCCATATAAGTGAAATTGTCCTACCCATCAACCTGCTCAGTACTAGTTGATTCTTTCCCTGCAGGGGTCAACTGATAGGACCAGGGTAGATATGTGACATCAAGGCAACCAATCTATAGCACCTAAGGCATGGCAGAAATATTAACTGGGACAAGTCTTCATTCTAAAAAAGTTTAGTTAGGAAATACTGAGGAAAAAGCAGTTAGAAGTAGTAGTTAAAACTACAAGGACATGAGAGAGGGCCATAGGAACCATGAATCTCATAATGTATATAGCAGGAAATTTATAGGCATATATATATGTACACACACAAACACACACATATATACACAGATGTATATACATGGCTATATATTCCCTGATGCGCACATATGTATGTATACACCTCTGCATACACATATATGCATACACATATATGTATGTATACACCTCTGTATACATATATATGTACACAGATATACATATAGAATAAATATAGCTGTTAGATGGCCATATATAAATACACATATATATTGTGTGTGTGTATATTTATGTGTATGTATATATATGCATGTGTGTGTATATTTATGTATGTATATGTATATATACATATGTGTGTATATGTATGTGTACACTTATGTATATATACACACACACAAACACACACACATAGTCATATAGCAAAGCTGAGAGTGTGAATCTTGGACAAAATCTGGGTTTGGATCCCGAGGACAATACTTCTTAGCTCTCATCTCTGTAAAACTAAACTTCTCTTAGCCTCAGTTGCTTCATCTGTACAATGTAAATAATGCTACCTAAAGTTTTTGTGAAAAGGCACATAAAACACTTTGTAAAGGACCTGGCACATAGACACACCCAATAAGTAGCGATGTGACTCTGCAAGCTGAAGCTGTGAAGGAGCAAATCCCATGAACGAGCTAAGAAAGCCAATCAGAGACAGGGGAGAGTGGAATACATAGAACCTATGGCCTGTAACAGAGATTGTCACCAAGAGCCAGGACTGACTTGATTTCAGAATTTTCTCGTTCCAAATCCAGTCTACATGTTCTATTAATAATAGACTCTTTTCTTCTTTCGTCTTGATATAACTTTATAGATATGTTCAATCATCTGTTCTATACAGAGAGGACACTATTGACTGTGCAGCTGTTTGAACTACAAAATAATGAAAAGACTGGTAAGTGGGTCACAACTGTCCCTAGAAGACCATAGATCACCGTGAAACTTGTCTGATGATTTTATGTTCTCCACAGAGTAATCCTCTACCCCTTGCTTATGACTGAGTTGGACACTTGTTCATTATTTTCTTCCTCTCCAGAAGCTCCAGCAATTAACATTGCAATTGTCCATCTGCAAGTCTGTTTTCTCCATCTTAATGTTTCTCATTGTGTGTTCCATCAACAACCTATGGAGGAATGACTTATCAGGAACTATGTCTACTTTATTCACTGCCACAGAATCTAACACAGTTCTAGACCCAGAGTAGAAACCTGAGAATTGTTGAACCAAACAACTGGGGGAAAGATTAGAAAAATCCATGAATCATTAACTCTGATGCAAGGAGCCACAATAACAGTTTTGCTCCTTGACTGCTAAAGAATAACCAAGAGTCCTCATCAAACTGGCTGCTCTTCCATATTTTGGGAAGTATAAAGCTACTTCAGTGATAGACCACCTCATGGTACCCATTGTCCAACATCTTCATCACAGAAAAACTCTATGTGAAATTGTTTTGAGGAACTCTTGGCCAGATTTCCAGAAATGTGGTATGGAGTTCCCAAGCTACCATGATTCCCTTTGCATGCTCTGGGGTGGACATAAGACCTAAGTTAGCAACAAATTCTCAGCTTAATGCTACAGGCAGGTCTCCCATTCAAAACAATAACTGGGCTGGGCACAGT